AAGTTGCTTGAGCGGTTAACCACACTTAGTGCTTGTAGGTCAAAGAGACCTGTTGCTTTCAGTTCTTCATGTTTCACTCTTGTGTGCACCTCAGGGCTGTGAATAACGCCATGCTGGACACATACCAGCTGAAGTCACTGGATGGCTTGCTAGAAGGAGACCTGGCCAACATTGCTATTGTACAAGACAGAAAGGGAAAGCTGCATCTAAGACTGCGATTTCACTTCGATAGGAACAATGCCTCCCAGGATGTGCTCAACAGCAATGACCAGCGTCTCCTGTCAGTGGAAGAGGCTGATAACTTTTCAGTGCGTCAGCCTTATGACCGTGTCATCCGCTGCTTAGGGTGGAATTTTGACTTTTCTATTTTTAACAAGTAAGTGTAATTGCACTGTCCCTTGAACCTTCAGGAAATGCTGAACCCACCTTTTGTTTATCTTTTGTGAAAGGTTAACTTTCCTTTACAAAATTTACCTTCTCAACCTCTCCAGTATTGCCTTACTTTCACTTCAGAGTTATCCACTGTTTCATTTCCTCCTTTGTTTTATGCTTTCACTTTAATAATTTAGAAGAAAAATTCCCCTTCCTTTCAGGGAGTGAGGACCCAAACTTTCAACATTTCTTAGATGCCCAACTTTTCTCCTTATCCCATTTTTCTTTTCACTTTGTTGCGAACTCAATGTCTCCCTCTAATCTCTAATGTTTTAACTAGTTCCCCCAGTTTTCCTGGAACCCAAATGATCCATCCTCAGCCTTATTCCCTTCCTGACTCAAGCTGGCTGAGCCGTTAAACTCCCGTCTCATCTTTTTCCCCACACTCATGTACATCCTCCAGCACCTTCCCTGTGCACACTACTCACATGGTCCTTGTCTGCACCCATGCATTTCCCCCCTAACACCTATTACTCCTTAACTTCTGCTTTTGTCCTTGTTCACCCTGGATCCCTTCTGAGAATTCTTATTCTGTCTCATTATTTGGAAATTGTCAGTTGATGATTGGCCTTATCTTTTTATATGCCTTTGAATTAGAATTGCTCCATTTTGTGGGCTCAAATCCCAATTTCATTGCCAAACTGGCTATCAGATAATACTGCTACTAAACGGCAAAAAATACCTCCTCTAACTGGTCAAAGATGTACCCAGTCCCTTGACAACACCTCATGTCTGTTAGACCATAACCCCACCGGAGCATCATTGGAGTCATACCTTTCACAAAGGAAGATGGTTGTGGGGTTGTTGGAATGTCAGCCTGCCAGAGTTTCTCAAGGCAACCGTTTTCAGCTGCTTCATCAATGACCATTAGGTCAGAAGTGCGCATGTTTGCCGATGAAACACCATGTTAGTTATCGTACATGACTCTTCAGGTATTGGTACATTCAGCAAAACCCTGATAGCATTCAGTCTTGAGCAAGTAATATTTGTGTCACAGAAGTAGCAGGCACCGACCATCTCCAGAAAGCAAGAATATCCCCTCGATGCTCAACAGCATTGTTGTCACTGAATCATTCACTTCTAACATCCTGGGTGTTAAATTTCTGTGGCTACAAAATCAGGTCTGAGGCTGGAATTCTATGACAAATTAATTGCCTGACTCCCCAAAGCCCTTCCACTACCCACAAGGCATATGTCAGCAGTGTGATGGAATACTTGCCACTTGCCTGAATGAGTGCTTCTCCAACAACACTTAAGAAATTGAATGCCATCCAGGACAAAGCAGCCCTGCTTAATTGCACCCCATCCACCACCTTAAAAATTCATTCTCTCCGCTACCACACGGACTGGTGGCAATGTGTACCATATACAAGGGGTAATGCAGCAACCAACTAAGGCCTCTTTGATTGGACGTTCCAAATCATCAGTAGTTGCCATCTAGAAGGACAAGTGCAGTAGACACCACCACCTGCAAACCACAGACCAACCTGACTTGCAGCTTTCTTGGCGTCCCTTCTTTGTCACTAGATCAATATGCTGGAACTCATTGCCTATCTGCCTACACTAGATAGACTGCAGAGATTCAAAAAGGGGAATTTCTACCCCATTCTTAAGGGCAATGAATACTGGCCTCGCTGGTGTTATGTACATCCTGTGCAAGAATAAGAAAGTCTCAGACACCTAGAAAAGCAAAGAGCCTCATCTTCAGTTCCCAACCCTGCTCAGCCTTTTTGCACCTGGAGAGTTTATTTCATTTCAGTTTCTTTTAATGCTGCTTTTTTCTACCTGCAGTGATTTGTGAGCTCATCCTGTTGAGACATGAGGAGACCAGATCTTAGAGCTTTCTCAAGATTGCTATAAAGAAACAGAAACCTGAAGCTCTTCATGTTGCACTCATCATGGTTAGCATGCAAGAAACCAGACTTTGAAAGGGAGATCCAAATCGTACAGCGTGAGAAGAGGGTGCTGAACGTTTGGATCATGGTTGTAATGGAGATGCAGCTTAGAGTCATACAGATGTACAGCACGGAAACAGACCCTTCGGTCCAATTTGTCCGTGCCAACCAGATATCCTAAATTAATCTAGTTCCGTTTGCCAGCATTTGGCCCGTGCCCCTTTAAACCCTTCCTATTCATGTATCCATACAGATGCCTTTTAAATGTTGTAATTGTACCAGCCTCCACCACTTCCACTGGCAGTTCATTCCATACAATCACCATCCTTTGCGTGAAAAAGTTGACCCCTTTAGGACCATTTTAAATCTTGCCCCTTTCACCTTAAACCTATGCCCTGTAGCTTTGGACTCCCCTATCTTGGGGAAAAGACCTTGACTATTCACCCTATTCATGCCCCTCATGATTTTATAAGCCTCTATAAGGTCACCTGTCAACCTCTGATGCTGAGGGAAAATAGCCCCAGCCTATTCAGCCTTTCCCTACGGCTCAAATCCTCCAACATCAGAAACATCTTTGCAAATCTTTTCTGAACTGTTTCAATGAGCCATTCATTTACAAAGAAACTTATGGGTCAATGTACATAGATCATTAACATATGGTTGACTGGTGCAAAGAAATCCAAAACGCTCATGATTGAAAGTGAGTATTGAGGCTAGCTTCAGCCATATTAATCCTACTCGGACAAAACCTGGTGCAGTGGACAACACACCAACAGTAGGATATATTGGCTTTGGAAGGGGAGTGTAGCATAGATTTACCAGAACGAAATGTAACCTTGAAGGTTGAAATTATGAGAAGTGATTGCACAAACTAAAGTTGTATTCACTGAAATTTGGAAGTTAAGGGTTGACCTAGCTGTAATTGTCATGGTGTTAAAGCTGAAAAGACCGGGTCAACCCCTGTTTATCTGTTTTAGGGGAATCTAGACCTAGCTGACATAGAGTCAAGCCTTACAGGTATGAAATTAGGAAACAACTAACACACAAATAGTGGTCGAAATTTGGAACACTTCCCCAAATGACAGTTTTTGCTAAATCAATTGTTCCTTTTAAAGATTAATAGTTTTCTGTTCACCGGTGGGTGCTAAAAAGAAATGGGGCAATGGTTATTCTATGAAATCAGGTCACAGATCAGCCATGATCTCACTGACTGGTGGATGGAACAGGTATGAGAAGCTGAATGGCTTCATCTGTTAGCTATTCACTTGCAGCAAGTGTCTTGTGCACATCCTGGCTTCTGCTCCAGGTCACTCTTTTGGCAACCTTTGCTCAAAATTATTAGGTTAAGGCCTAATCCAGCTGTGATGCCCTCCACAGCTGAGCAGCCCACCTGCTCCCAATCGATGGGCCCGCTACTGGAGGATTGGCTGAAGCTCAAGAAACAAAGCTCCAGCAAGGTGGTACCATCTTTAAGATGTAAAGGGACAAAAAAAAAATTGATGAAGGCAACATAAACATTCTTTCCTTCATCGCTGCTGATGTTTTCTCTAACAGTCTTACCAAACCTAAGAGGGGCCGAGGCCGCACAAACAAATACCCACTGGTCAAGGCCACATATGAATCAGAAAGCCTGCCTGGAATGTTTATTATTGGGACAGCCGGTCATTCCATCGATTACAGGAAGTCAGCTGGTGGGTTCATCCATGGATTCCGCTATACAGGTGAGCATCATGCCTCCTCAAGAAAATCCATGGGTAGAACCACATCGACCTTTCAGCATTGAAATGGTACTTTCCACTTAACTGGGCCATCTCAGGTTTATATAATCCAAATGAGCCTCATCCCACTCTACTTCATTTCACTGAATGAATATATCCTTCTACTCCTTTCTCCTCCATGTTCTAATCCTAGCTTCTCCATACATCCATCTATACTATTTCTCAGCTGCTGCTTTTGGTCATCATAGTCATGGAGTCAATATGGCACAGAGGACGATGATTCTGTCTGTTGAGTCTATGCCAGCTTTCTGTAGCACAGTCCATCAGTCCCATTCGCCTACTCTATCCCTACAACCCAACAAATTTATTTCTCTCCAGTGCCTATCCAATTTCGTTTTGTAATCACTGACTGTCTTTGCTTCCGCCGTCTTTGTAGAGAATTAATTCCCTGTCATTCGTACTTGTTGCAGGATATCTTTTCGCAACCTACTTCTGTTTCATTACCTAAACTTTAATTCTGTGTCCCCTAGTCCTTATACTATCAGCTACTGAGAATGGTTTATCTTTGTCTGCATTATTTAGTCAAAACCTTGCACACCTCTCCCAAATTTCTTTCGCTTCAAGGAGCACAACCTCGCCTTCTCCAGCCAAACCTTGTGACTAATATCCTCCATCCTTGAAACTATTCGTTAAATCTCCTCCGCAGTCTGTCCAGGATCCTCACATACTAAGTGTGGTGACCAGAACTGGATGTAATAATCTAGTTATGACTGAACCAAAGCTTTATATGAGGAGAATTTTTTCTCTGAGGGTTGTAAATTTGTGGAATTCTTTACTGAGAGGGCTTTAGAGGCCTGCGTCATAGAAGGATACAACAGGCCCTTTAGCCCACCATGTCTGTACTGACCAACAAACACCAAACTATACTAATCCCATTTACCTGCACTTGGCCCATAGCCTACTCTGCCCTGACATTTTAAATGCTCATCAGATACTTCTTAAATGTAAGAGTAGCTGCCTACGCCATCCTTTTAGGCAGCATGTTCCACATTTTATCCTCCCATATCCTCTGAACCACTTACTCCTCACCTTAGACATGTCATTTAACTATATTCAAGGGTGAGGTAAACAGGTTTTTAATCAGTCAGAGAATCGTGGTTTATGGGAAAAGGCAGGAAAATAGAGTGGAGGATCATCAGATAAGTCATGATCTAATTGAATGGCAGAGCAGACTTGATGGGCTGAATGGTTTGCTTTTGGTCCTACATGTTATAGTTTTATAAATGTTCACGGTAACTTCACTGCTTTGGTACTAAATGTCTTTCTGAATAAAGTCCAGGATTTCACGTGTTTAACTAACCACTCGCTCAATATATCTTGCCACTTCCAAATATTTATGCACATGTATCCCTAGGTCTCTGTCTTTGTGCATGCATTTTGGAACTGGGCCATTAAGCCTGTATTGCCTTTCTGTATCCCTTCTGTCAATAAACATCACCCCACACTTGTGTGTTAAATTCCATCTGCTACTTGTCTGCCTTTTTTTTTTGCTGACTGCATTCTTTTGCAGTCAATTTGTATCCATCTCACTGTTTGGTACGCTTCCAAATTTGGTGTCATCAGCAAATTTTGACATTTTACTCTGCATTACAATATCCAAGTCATTTATATGTATATATCAAAGAAGCCATGGTCCTGTTTACCATCACTGTCTACCGTCCTCCAGTCTGGCAAAGCAACCATTTATCACAACTCACTCGTTTTCTGCCCTAAAGCAATACTTTTATCCAGATTCTTCATTCTACCCACTTTCTGGTAAAACTTTTATTTTCTGATTCTCTATTGAATAATTAATAGGATCTTATAGTTGAATTGTCTAGTTTTGGTCTCATCATAAATGGAAACAGCTCTGTTTATCCTCTTTAAACTAAATTAAGTTTGGTTAAAAAGCAGAGATTTAGTAAAATAACAACAGAAACTTTTTCCCACTGGAGATTGAAATGCTAGAAGTTCAGTACCTGAAATAGTAATTGTATAGGTTAGATAGGTGATTCCAGATGTATTAATGGCATTTAAATTCCACCAGCTGCCATGGTGGGATTTGCATCCACATCTCCAGGGTGTGAACCACAAAATTTGAATGCAGTGTGTTACTACTTTGCCATGTCTTTCCAGGTCAGGTTGAAGGATAAATATTGGCCCAAGACACTGGGGAAAGCTCCTGCTTCTTGTTTGAAATATTACCTTGGGATCTTTTAGGTCTGCTTGAAAAGGATGACATCTTGTTTTAAGGTCTCATCTGAAAGGCAGTGCAGCACACCATCAGCACTGCACTAGATAATGTTCTGGTTAAGATTTATTTCTCAACCAAATCACTGATCTATGCAGCGTACCTTGCTAGTGAGCTAGCAAGCAAGTTCTTCGCCTCCTGTTAGTGAGTGTTGAAACAGGAACATGGATAGGATTATGTGGCTGGAGAGATGGTGCAGGAGGGAAGGGCGGTCACAGACAAGAATAAAAGGTGAAATGAATTATTTTTGCAGTTCTCCTGTTCTTAACTGTGCTTAATATTCTTTATTAACTGTTTTTCCCCTTAAAAATAGGCAGTGTGTGTTTGTTCAAACTCTGTCTGTGAAGTCCAATTGTCCTACATTCAAAACGTGGTAGAAAGGTTCACAGGAAATGCATATTCACACACACACATCTAGGAAAGAAAGGAAAGGAAGCAAGTTATAATCTGCCTAAAATCAGAGATATTAGAATCTGTTCACATGAATTAGAGAGTCAAATAAATCACTATCCACCAGAGATAGCAAGAACTGCAGATGTTGGAGTCGGAGACAACACAGTGTGGAGGTGGAGGAGCACAGCAGGTCAGGCAGCTCAGAGGACCAAGAAAGTTGATGTTTTGGGTCTATTTCTGAAGAAGGGTTCCAACTTTCCTGCTCCTCTGATGCTGCCTGACCTGCTGTACTCCTCCAGCTCCACACGGTGTTATCATTATCCAGTGGAGGTTCTTTCAGTTGACCTTGCACAGAAGTGCCTTTTGCAGTCAAATTGTAGTTGACAGTGCAGCAATTGTAAGATGGGAACTGTTTCACTTCACAGGCAAAATACAGGATTCTTTCCAGAAATCAGACTTTTGAGAGTTGAGTTTAGAGGTAGGCATCACCAAACCTGAAACTTTCCTGTTGTGGCACAGTAGCTCAGTGGTAAGCACTGCTGCCTCAAAGCACCAGGGACCCAGGTTCGATTCTGCCCTCTGGTGACTCTGTGTGGAGTTTGCACATTCTCCCCATGTCTGTGTGGGTTTCCTCCAGGTGCTCTGAATCTTCCAACAGTCCAAAGATGTGCAGGCTTAGGTGTATTGGCCATGCTAAATTTCCCATAGTCATTAGAAAAGTGGATTAGCCATGGGAAGTGTGGGTCTACACGATAGGTTGGGTGCTGGATCTGGCTGAGATGGTGTTTGGAGGGTCAGTGCAGACATGATGGGCTGAATGGCCTCTCTCTGCACTGTAGGGATTCTATTATTCTATGCTAGCTGTTCCAGTCATGTGATTTGGCTTCCCACCTTAATCCCTCAGCTAATAAGGTGGGTTTTGATGTCCTGTCCAAGATCAATTGTGTTTTCTGAAAGATATTTATGGAGTCATTAGCATAAAGTCAAGCAGTAATAGGTTTTGATGGTTTCCTTTGTTCAAAACTGGCCAAGGTAGACATCTCGTCCACTATTCCTTCATGTTGGCTTGGCTGCAATGTCTAGTCAGTGAAAGGAGTGGGACGTTCCAGGAGGACGATGTAAGCTTTGGTCATATCGTTATTGCTGGTCCGAACTTTATAGAAATTATCATCAGCTGGCATTGTGTGATCCCACATAATGTCAGTTTTTAAGAACATTTAAGATAGAAATTATTCACTTTACAGAAAACAATTTTTGATCTCTCCCTTCCTATTACAGGAAGGTTTTAAGTTCCTGAAACACTGGGACTAGTTCTGGAGGAGGTGGGACCTGTATGGGCTGGATGGGTGTGCTGGGACCAATGTCCCTGTGGGTGATTTGCTAAATTTATTTGGGAGGGTTTAAGTTAACTTGGTGTGTAACTGGGAGCCACGATGTAGTACTGGAAAAGAGAATCCAGAGGCAACATGTGCCTTGGGGTTTAGAAAGTGGTAACAATGTAAACTTCAGAAATTTAATAACTGTTCATGGGCTGAAAGAATCAGCAATAACTCTTTCCAGAGTAAACTGTTTCCCAAGATGAATGGGAGACTGTTGATTGGAGGCAGCTGTTTGAGGGTAAATCCACATTGGACATGTGGGAGTATTTCAAATGGCAGTTGATTAAAGTTCAGGAGTGGCACTTTCCTGTGAGAATGAAGGATAGATATGGCAAGTTACATGAACCTTGGATGACCATGGGTGTTAATGACCTTGGCCAGAAAGAGAAAGGAAGCATATGTAAGGTCTAGGAGGATGGGAACTGACGAAGCCCTTGAAGTACATAAGGAAAATAGGAAATAACTTAAACAAGAAATTAGAAGGGCTAAAAAGGGTCATGTAAAGTTGTTAGCAAACAGGATTAAGGAGAATCCCAAGGCTTTTTATACATATATAAAAAGCAAGAGGATAGCCAGGGAAAGGGTTGGCCCACTCAAGGACAAAGAAGGGAATCTGTGTGTGGAGCCAGAAGAGGTAGGTGAGGTCTTAAACGAATACCTTATGGTGATATTCACCAAAGAGAAGGAATTGGCAGTGGATGATCTCAGGGAAGGGAGTGTCGATCTTCTAGGCCAAGTTGCTATTAAAAAGGAAGCGATGTCGTGCTTCTTAAAAAGTATTAAGATAGATAAGTCCCTGGGTCCTGATGGGATATATCCTAGAATACTGAGGGAGGCAAGAGAACAAATTGCTGGAGCATTGACAGACATCTTTGTGTCCTCTTTGGCCAGAGGTGAGGTCCCACAGGACTGGAGAACAGCCAATGTTGTCCATTGTTTAAAAAGGGTAACAGGGATAAACCAGGAAATTATAGGCTTGTGAGCCTCACGTTAGTGGTAGGGAAATTATTGGAAAAGATTCTCGGGGACAAGATCTATACGCATTTAGAAGCAAATGGACATATTAGCGATAGCCAGAATGGTTTTGTGCGCAGAAGGTCATTCCTCACTAACTTGATTGTGTTTTTTGAGGAGGTGATGAAGATGATTGATGAGGGAAAAGCAGTTAATGTTGTCTACATGGATTTCAGCAAAATCTTTGCCGAGGTCGCTCATGGCAGACTGGTACAAAAGGTGAAGTTACATGGTACGAGGGGTGAGCTGTCGAGATGGATACAGAACTGGCGTAGTCATAGGAGACCGAGGGTAGTGGTGGAAGGATCCTTTTCAGAATGGAGGGTTGTGACTAGTGGTGTTCCACAGGGATTAGTGCTGGGACCTCTGTTGTTCGTGATCTACATAAATAGTTTGGAGGAAAACATAGCTGGCCTAATTAGTAAATTTGAGGACGATTCAAAAGTTGGTGGAGTTGCTGATAGTGAGGAGGATTGTCAGAGGATACAGCAGGATATAGATCAGTTGGAGACTTGAGCAGAAAAATGGCAGATAGAGTTTAATTCAGACAAATGTGAGGTGGTACATTTTGGAAGGTCAAGTACTGGTGGAAATTATACAGTGAATGGCAGAACCCTTAGAATTATTGAAATGCAGAGGGATCTGGGTGTGCAGGTCCACAGATCACTGAAGGTGGCAGCGTAGGTAGATAAGGTAGTAAAAAATGTCATTGGCATGCTTGCCTTCATTGGAAGGAGCATTAAGTACAAGGATAGGCAAGTTATGCTGCAGTTTTATAGGGCTTTAGTTAGGCCACACTTGGAACATTGTGTACAGTTCTGGTCACCACACGATCAGAAGGATGTGGATGCTTTGGAGAGTGTATAGAAAAGATTTACTAGGATGTTGCCTGGTATGGGGGACTTTAGCTATGAAGAAAGCTTGGGTAGACTGGGCTTGTTTTCACTGGAATGCAGGACGTTGAGGAGTGACCTGATAGAAGTTTATAAGATTATGAATGGCACGGATAGAGAAGAAAGTATGAGGCTTTTTCCTAGGGTGGAGGGGTCAATTACGAGGGAACACAGGGTACAGGTGTGAGAGGGGGAAGTTTAAAAGACATGTGCGAGGTATGTTTTTCACACAAAGGGTAGCAAGTGCCTGGAATGCACTGCCAGAGGAGATGGTGGAAGAAGCACCTGAACGAATACATGAATAGGAAGGGAATAGAGGATACAGATCCTGTAAGTGAAAACATTGTTAATATGTTAGAGCAAAATGTGTTGGCGTAGGCCTGAAGAGCCGAAGGAACTGTTACTATGCTGTATTGTTCTTTGTTCTCTTTGTTTTCTTTGTTGTATGAAAAACTCAAGGACAAATAACTATAAAGGAATTAAAAGCAACACACCATAGCATTCCTACAGTGTGGGAGCAGGCCATTTGGCCCATCAAGTTGTATACACTGCCCCTCTGAAGAGTATCCCACCCAGACTCACCCCTCCACCTATCCCTGTAACTATGCATTTCCCATGGTTAATCCACCTAGCACATCCCTGAACACTGAGCAATTTAGCATGGCTGATCCACCCAACTTGCCCATTTTGGACTGTGGAGGAACCCCGAGCGCCTACTGGAAACCCATGCAGACATGGGGAGAACGTGCAAGCTCCATACAGACAGTTGCCTGAGGGTGGAATCAAACCTGGGACCCTGGCGCTGTGAGGCAGCTGTGCTAACTACTGAGCCACCGTGATGCCCTATTAACACCAATTAACCATCCTTGGGAAAAAGGAGTTAAATACACTAAAGTTTAACTAATTGTTTCCGTACTTGTTTGTATGTGAGATTTCTTAAGAAGCCAAATTAAAGGTAGCTTGTGGTAATTTACACATAACAGAGTGATTGATGCTGTTGATATACTGGTGGGTAAACTTGAAATCAGGGCAAGATTGCTTTGGTGTCAGTAAAAATTAACAATAAATTAATGGGGATGGCATACATTTAAACTTTGCTGCCCCTGAGGCTTCTAGCTGTACAAAGCTGGGATAGCTCTGCCCTCATATGGATTCCTGACTGCACTACTTCAACCCAGGCTGGAGATTGAGTAATTCTAGCTTTGACCTTGCCTGGGGAGCATAAAGCTAGAGAGTGGCTGAGATTGATTTCATGCCCCTAATTTTTGTTATTTTGATTATTTGCCCATCACATTACACTGCTGGAGAAAGGACTCTGCCTGTATAAAAAAAAGTTTCTGTGGTTATAATGATGAGTTCTATTTGCTATAGTTAGTAAATATCTAATTGCTGTAGTGTGTTTTTTGAATAGATTTTCTCTGCTGACTGAACAGACTGGTAAAATTGGACAGTTGGAAATTCTGCCTTAAGCCTAGCCCTGCCTCCATTGGCTGACCCAGTATTGTCAATTGACGTTCTGTAAATGGACATTTTCAGGGCACTGAATAAGCTGTTACGTCTTCATTTAATAACTTGCACAGTGTATAAGGTCACTGGAAGGAGTTCATCATGTGTAAGGTTGCTCATGCAACAAAGTAATAACAAGCATAGTGGCTCAGTGGTTAGCACTGCTGCCTCACAGCGCCAGGGACTTGGGTTCGATCCCACCCTCGGACGATTGTCTGTGTGGAGTTTGCACATTCTCCCCATGTCTGCGTGGGTTTCCTCCGGGTGCTCCGTTTCCTCCCACAGTCCAAAGATGTGCAGGCTAGGTGGATTGGACATTGCTAAATTGCCAGTAGTGTTCAGGGATGTGTAGATTAGGTGGGTTATAGGGGGATGGGTCTGGGTGGGATGCTCTGAGGGTCAGCGTGGACTTGTTGGGCTGAAGGGCCTGTTTCTACTCTGTAGGGATTAAATGATTCTATAAACTTGTTTCTGCTTGCATGTTTCCAATTTTCTTCTCAATAATTTGCCTCCAGAGGTCGTGATTGTCAGGGACTGTAATTGTAGCCTTTAAGAGATGTGGTCTGTGATATTTCTCTTGCAATATTGCCACAGTGCTGCCGAAATGTCTCCTTCAGGCATGCAGTTGGTAAACAGCTTTTGAGTTCTCCCTGGGTGTTTCTTTTTTGTGAGACAAAAGAATCATGAGTGGGCAGGATAAAGGCTCACACAGATCCAGGAAGGCTTTTAGTTTTGTTTTCAGTTAGTTGAGAAGGTTTTCTGCTGGCTGCTGAGCTAAAAGCTTAAGTTCCTGGCTGGTAAAGTGGTCTCAGACAGCAAGGCTTCCTCTTAAAAATCGAAAAGGGCAGATTGTTTCTTTCCTTTCGACTGAAGAGAGAGCAGATGAGAACTATAACTGTTTTGCTGAATTACATCTTTGCCAAAGTGTATGTTTGTGGGATGCTGTCTATATTGGAACTGTTGATGATTAATGGTTAAATAATAGAAGAATTTAGAGGGATATGGGCCAAATGCTGACAAATGGGACTAGGTCAGATGGGATGGCAGGTTGACGCAGACGATTTGGACCAAAGGGTCTGTTTCCACGCTGTATGACTCCGACATTATCTTGTTAAATATTTCAATAGCGTTAAAGTTATGCCAATTTTTGTTTTGTATTTTAACTTTGTTGTAAGAATAAAGTGTGGTTTGATTAAAGCCAGGTGGTGGACCAATTGAATTACATCTGGAACACAGTGCCTTACACTTGCCTTTAAATAAATATAAAAGTTAGGGTCTAGGCTATCTCCCCCACAATACTCTGTGGGGGAGGTCTGGTCTGGCGAATAACAGTGACTGTCACCCAGTTGTCAATGTTAAAATCCACTATCTTCATATTTCATATATATTTTATGTTTAAGCACAGATTTAAAGGTCATCTTAAAGGCAGAGAGGTGGAGAATGTAGTGAGGGAGTTCCAGAGCTTAGAGAGTAGGCAACTGAAGTACAGCCACCAGTTGTGGAGTGATTAGAAGCAGGAGTGTGCAAGAGGTTAGAATTGGATGAGGAGATACACCTGAGGAATTGTGGAGGTGGAGGAGATTGCTGAGATAGAGAAGTGTGAGACCATGAAGGGATTTGAAAATAAGGCTGAAAATTTTTAAGTGGAACCTTTACCAGACCAGGAACCAGTGTAAGTCAATGAATGGGACTTGGTGTGAGTTTACAATACAGGCAGTTATTTTGGATGAGTTAAGCTTACAAAAGTTGGAAGATGGAAGGCTGACTGATCGCAGATTATCAGATTTCATTATGGTGCCTGATTTGTCAAGCTGCTGTTATAACCTGCGGTTTCTGGTTGTCTCTTGCCAGCCCGTGCTGTTCATCACCTCCTGGAGCATCGATACCATGGTACTACCTGGCCGGCCACCACACTGCCCATCATCCATTTGACCAACACCATAATCAAGCGCATCAACGAGGCCTCTGGTCTTTATCAGATGTTCAGTGTCCTGGCTGACATTGTGCTGCTACAGAAGTGAGTGAGCCTGCACTTTAAAAGATCTAGTTGGGCTCAGTGCAGTATTCACAATCCGAAGACAGCAAGCTGTTCCCTTTCCATTCAGTAAAACATGTGTCACAATGGTTTATATCAAGTTTCCCTGGATGACCTCCATTTGTGATGCAATACACTGTGTTGGATTGAATCCAACTCGTAAACCCATTGTTGCCCACCATGTACTTTCCAACATAAGGTTTCTTGATTATTACCAGAGCAAAATTCTGGCTGAGATTAACCTGGCGATACTGAGTTCTTACCGCTTCTAGACTGAGATCAGCTAACAAGACATAGCTGGCACCTCATGGGAATGTTGAGCTGTATTCTAAACTCCCTGTTCTCTAAACTGTCTGGGTCAGTTAGGTTCAGGTTTAAAATATGCATGTTTAATTACCATTACTGGAGTTCTGAAGAAGAGTCAAATTGGATTGGAACACTATCTCTGTTTCTTTCTCCATAGATGCTGCCAGATCTGCTGAGTTTCTCCAGCAGTTTCTGTTTCTGTTACCTACTGTTTATACTGACTTTGAGTCAGTTCATGTATCATTGGCTGGTGACACTGACACAACAGGAGATAGCAACAGAAGGAGAATCAACCAAATGGAAACTAGGTCTGATGTTTGGAGACAACACAGTATGGAGCTGGAGGAACATGACTAAAGGTTAATGGGATTAATTAGAAACCTTAAGAGGCCTGACTTTGTCAACTTGCAATGGAGCATCAATTAGAAAGCTGTTCCACAGTCAGTCCTCCTGGCAACACAAGGCTTTTCTCTGTTTAATTTTCTGCCCTTGCATTTACCCAGTCTCACCATAGAACGCAAGAAAAGTAGCAGGAGTAGGCAAGTTGAGGCCCTCAAGTCTGCCCTGCCATTCCATAACATTCATGGCTAATCCACCCCAGCCCTCAGTGTCTCTTTCATTCCAGCTCCTTGTCGTCCTCAATTCGTTGAGATTTCAAAAATCCACCTACCTCCTCTTTAAGTGCTTTCAGTGATCCAGCCTCCACATATCTCTGGGATAGAGAATTCCAGGCATACACTACCCTGTGAGAGGGTCTCATTCCATTTCCACCGTCCACTCTTCATCCCCTTACCAAGTTATTTCTATTTGCAGTGTGGGTGTTGATAAAGATCGTCAGAGGACTATTGATCCATAGACAGCATTACAGTGTGACCCAATCTTTGAAGGTATTGGTGATTTCAGACAGGGTTGAGCAAGGATTTCTTTGCTCAGACTGTAAATTCTGTGCTGTGGAGGACTGTTGATACTCAGGTGATGAATATGCTCAAGACTGAGATCAGGAGAATCCTGGGCCCTGAATTAATCAAGAGATTGAGGACAAAGTGGAAATTCAATTATTATCATATTGAATGGCACAGCAGACCTGAGTGGGTATATGGCTGACTCTAGCCCCTTTGTCTTATGTTCTGATGGCCTGAGCTTATTGTCACTGAGTGTCCGTGGTAATGATCAGGGCTGGGAGAGCTAGCTGATTTCCTCCCTTTCTAACCCAGAACACTGAGCCTTGGTTTAATATCTGCAAATTCTGAGCTATTTTGAATGTCACACTATGATGGTGGGACCATGTGGCTCAGTATTGCCCAGATTGTGTGGTTTCTATACAGAGAGGGAACAATTGCCCACGCTGCTTATATGGTGACATGCAGTGTGCTGGTATACAATCTTGACTGTAACCAACCCCATCACTGGGCCCCCACAGTTTTATCTCAGTTATGCTGTCCAGCAAAAGTCATGAGGAGCGAGGTATGCATCCCATACTGAGTGAGCCTTCCTGTGGCTGCTAACATCTATCCTGCTGTTTATTTGCAGAAATGCCACAGAGTTTGAATACCTGGAAGAGTATCCAATTGGAGCACTTCCACATCTTCAGGAAAACACCGGGAGAAATGCAGCAAATGGGCTATTTGTTATTAACCTGGAATATGGGAGCAACTTTTCCAGACCAGAGGCTGATGTTTTCCATCCGAGCCGTTCAGTGGGAGAGCCTAGGCATGCGTGGCTCTCAAACTTCCTCCACCCCGTCATCTACTTCTACAAACGTCTCCCAACAGGTTAGTGTTTCAATCTATTCCATCTCCTTCCTTGCAAAGGCCGGATCAGTTCTATACACAGAATCACAGAATTATTACAGTGCAGGAGGAGGCCATAATGCCTGCACCAGCTCGTTCCAATCTCAGACTTTACTAGTCCAGTAAAGTTATCACTATGCCAATATTTCCCCCTTATATGGGCAACAGTGTGAGTCCATGCAGATGGAGCAGAGTGTTCCTATGTATGGGAGTACTGTAGATCCAGGGGTGGGGAAAGTGGAGTGTATGCTGCGCAGGTGGCAGTGAACAGGCTTGTTCATGGCTTGACAGGACATGCCAGGACGTAGACTACTTTTTCTGCTTGTTTTCAGAGACCGAGATGATGCAAAGACCAAAGTTGTGGCCCCTCCCCCGTCCACACTACATCCATCATGTTGTGGAAGATTTCCTGACTGACTGGACGGCTGCCAAAGCTCACATCCTGCCCCTGCGCCGCTTCTTGGAGAACTGTCTGGGCACTGACCTCAGGAGCTTCTTTGCAGGTGCGACATCCTCTTGTGAGAGAATCCTGTTGAACAGGGGCATCCCTATATGGAGGTGCCTTTACCTCGAGCTGTTTCTCCTCTTGTTTGGGGACCATCCCTTTCTCTGTCCATTACTCAGGTTGGCCCTACAGCAAGGGTCCCATGGCTGCTCTGGGTGAGATGCTGCCACTCCACATTTGGAACTCTCAATGACTTGAATTCCCGACCTCTCACGACCCCAATGTTTCTGTCATTTGTTGTAGGTTCTGCCACCATTACTGCCTGTCTCTGATGAGTTAAGAGGACAGAACCTGGGTCTTTGTGCTGTGAAGCCCAGGGCCTCTATGTTGCTGTGCCCTATCGTGGAGCTTGAGGCCTTAGGCTACATTGCTTGGGTGCTGTGGTGTAGACCTCAGACAATGGGCTGGACAATGTAACAACTCACTATTTAGAGTCACTGCTTTGTCTCGTTTGCTTGGGGTATGGTTTCATTCCCATCCTCTTCACCTTGGCAGTGTTTGTTCTTCATTTCCAGCCCCGTTAGTCTGTGTGTCTGCACCTCTGAGTGTGGACTGCACCACTGCCCTATCCAGTACAGAAGCTGTGAAACCCTGTACCACTTGTCCATCCCCTTCCCACTAGCGAAGCTCCAGCCCTCCCTCAGCGCTCCCCAGCATTGTTAGGGAGTGAGCTGACGGTAGTTCAGGCCTGTATAGAGTGTTCACACTAGATCGAACAGTGTAGCCAAGGCCGCTGCCATTCTGTACGTCAGTAAAGGGATTGCACTTTAAAAGATTTTATTACCCATGAAGCGTTTGATGGCATCATGTGGTTGTGAGAAGCACTACATGAGTGCAAGCTTGTTTGTTTCTTATTAACTCATTGGTAGAGGATGTATTTTGATCACAGGGACTGCTGAATTTATGGGAGAGCTTCAGGTTCTAATGAGATTCCGTTTCCCCGCAGAATCCTGCTTCAAGTTTGCTTTGACCAATCCACATGTGCCGCCATTCTGCCACCACGGTTACTTAAACATGCAGGGCTTGCTGGATGTTGAGATCTTTTGACAAGGTTCTGCAGCGGTGGGCCAGCATTCCAGCGACAGCGTCCACAGCCAGCAAGTGCCCGAGCAACAGGGGAGTTTGAAGTGAAACTGTTCAGTGACTGAATGTGTGGCCAGACAGACTGTGCCCTTTATCCAAGTGAGGGCTCAGTGGACACAGTTACCAGACTAAATGATTCCAGGACACACGTAGCCCTGCTGCCAAGTACAAAGGTTTCAAATAATAATTCCTGTATGATGTATATTCATATGAAAACACAGCCAGACGTGTCTGTCAATATCTGGGGGGTGGATTTGTGTTTACAGGTTTGACACTTGTTGAGATTGCGGAGGCTACAATTTTAAATGCTTTCCATCACGTGTTCTAATGATTAATCTAGTGTTTGAAAAGTCCCAGGCCATGCTTAAAGCTTCACCAGTGCTGATATCAGCACTTTCTGCAAACTTGCCCCTCCCGCAGCTTCACAAAGTGGCCCACTAAATCTTTGAAAATCATGGTCAAAACTCACACTGATGTGGAAGCATTCCTCTAGTCGGGAGGCCAGGCTCCATTTCTGGCAAGACTGAATTTTAATGTTTCTGGTTTGCATGAGAAATTGCTGCAAACAGACAGTTGGCTGATTGTTGCTGCTTATGGGAGCTTGCTGTGCCAGCACGGCTGCTGGTTTTCTTGCATTACAGCTATGATGACACTGAGCTGATGTACACCATTGGCTATGAAGCACTTCAGAACACCCTGGTTTCCTGAAAGTTGTGACAGGAAAACACCAGCCTGTTAATTCAGGCCAAAGGTTCTGCTGAATGGACGCGCTTCCTACCATGACTACCGCTGTCACTGACACTTTCAACGTTCAGATTGATTGATTGTTTTGTCAGAGGGCTACAAGGGATATGGAAGAATGGCAGATAAAGATCAAGTGCAGATCTGTGACCTAACGGAATGGACATCATCAAGGGTTTGAACAGTCCGCTCATATTAATCTTGTTAATGTGCAGTTCATGAGTGACTGTAATGCCGTTTGGTTGCTGGAGGTGATGCTGCTGAGCTGCTTATTTGACAAATGGGGGAAGAACCTAGGACAACGGGTCTTTCTGAACAGGATATGAATCATTGGTGGTTTAACTAATTGAGGAAGTGCAGAAGACTTCAGGTGGATATTTTTGTTACAGAAATGGGTACTTGTGGTGCAGAAACAACGTATTCTGCATCAGTTAGACATCAATTCATTCAGACTCTTAGACTGGCAGAGCATTCAAAGAGGCCATTCAGCCCATTGTACCTGAGCTTTCTAATTAATGTCAGTCACCTTGCTCCTTCCCAACACACTTGGGAGGGAGGAAAAGAAATCTGAGGACCAGGAACTAGGGTCAGACTGCCCTGACTCCATTTTAATATTTTTCAGGCCTTAAATAATGTCTAACAAATAAATGGAACTGCAGCTGGTACAGAACACTAGTGCCCAGTGGGTAATTGAGCTGGATAGTGCTTGCTTATTGCTGTTGTTTGCTAAGCATGGCTGTGTGAGCAAACTTGTGCTGTGAATGTTGTGAGGAGAGAATGGAATTTGATGGCTGCCCCATGCAGTTTTGTTGGGTACCTAGATGGGATCTTGGTGTGTGGAGAGGGGAGCTGTACAACTGTAACCCAGCAGAGGTACATTGTACTCGGCAGGAGTGAGAAAGGTTGGTGAGGAGTAAGGATCAGGTTGCAGTCTGCCTCAGTTTTGGACTGTTGCCTCGTTGATCTGTAAAAGCTTACATTTTCACACAAGCCATACATTCTGTGATCAGCCCTCCATACTTTCTGTATCAACCTTCTTCATCACAGATTCCTTTATTCATATTAAAAATGAGATCTGCAGTGTAAACCTGTGATCTTATAACCGCAGCTGAGACCTCAGCCCTGCCCATAGGCCATATTGCAGGCTCCAGTCAACATAATGTGCCAGTTTTACCGTAAGCTTTCTATTTAACAATGACATTACGTAAAATATTATATAAACATAAAGACACAACCAGCAGCTTTATAATGAGGAACATATTACGTCCCTGAGCTGTGGTCCAGTTATTCTTCTAACACTTCCTCTCCTCTGTGTTTCCCCATTTCAACCCCCACATCATAAACTCCCCAATCTCCTATCTTGCATCTATTACAGTTTATCACTTTGTTGTAATGGCATAAGAGTCAGCGGGAGGATTAATTTTTTAACAATGAGTTATTGAGATCTGGAATAGGCCAGAAGCAGATTGAATAGTAATTTTCAATGTGGAGTTTGAAGATGAAATGTTTACAGTCTATGGGGAAAGAGCAGTGGAGAATGAGGCTAACTGGGTCATTCTCTGAAAGGGCTGAGACAGATGTAATGGGTTGAATGGACTGCATTTACACTTTTACATTACTGTGCTTCATAATGGTGGTGAGGTTTCCATTTGAGCCAGAGGATAGGGGCTACAGGAAAGGAAGCCAGTTAATTAGACTCTACAGCAGGGGAAAACATCGATTAAATTGTGAATTCATGGGAATAAATGGAAGCAAACACTAAAATCTTTAATGTGATTTTCCACAATCAATCTGTTCAATTTAACAATCTGCAGATGTCAATAGCCTTGGCATGCAGAGGTCAAAGGGTTAGGCAATCTTGCCAGCGAGCTGGCTTTGACTCCTCACTCTAATGCCACATTTAGAGTGAAAGTGCAAATTCTATAAACATTCTAATCTAGACATTAAAATGTTACATACTTTAATGGGTTCAGTTAAGTCTCAAATTGAATTGCAGCAACAATACAATCTGATCCACTGCTCAGTAACCAACAATCAGAGAGAAATATGTGGCTGTACATTCCACCCATCCCCTGCTGCAATTTTAAAAGAGTTTTTTTTAAAAAAATCAATATTTAACTCCGGGTAAAGTGATCCATGAAGATTGCCAGGCTGTGTCAAAGGGTCAGACAGCAGGGGCTAACACTTCAGACTTGCTTTGTTACTGACATGTCACTGAGATTTTAACCTTGGTATCGAGGTGTTTGGAGGCTGGAGTAAATTGAAATCTTGAACTGCTGACAACACAAGACAATCAGCCTATTGTCTGATCAATGCTGCAGTCTGTTCCCTTTTCCTTGACTGTGTTCCACCTCTGGGCTTCTGGATTATGGGCTGTGAATGTTTGAACAGGGCAAATATAGAAAATTAATCCCACTGACAGGACGGTTGGTCACCACAGCTCAAAGCTAATTCGCAAAATATCTGGTAGCAGAGGTTGGGAGAGGTAGGGATTTTTATTTAAAGAAAGTAAGTTATGATCTGGAAGACAGGCTAAAAGTCTGCTGCATGCAACAACAACTTGGATTTTTGTAGCACCTTTATTGTACTGTATCCCTGGCATCAACTCACAAGTGTGATTAGCAAGCAGGGTGAAAGCGAGATTTCAGGACAAGGTGGTCAAAAAAAGCTTAGTTGAAGCAATCAACCCTTTTGACAGACTTACCCAGACTCTTTACTTGCAACTCTGAAGTTCTTTCCTCCAAAGTTAGTCTTAAAGGGAATCTTAAAAGAGGAGAGGTTTAGGGAGAGAATTCCAGAGTTTAGGGCCCGGAAGCTGAAGATATAGCTGCCAGTGGTGAAGCAGGGACATCCAAGAGATAAGGTTTAATATAATTTTGGGACAGAAGTTGTATATATGCTTAAAAAAATGGAAGGACTCTGGGGCTGTAGGACTAATTAGAAAATTCTTGTGAAAGACCAGTGTGGGTAGGGTGGGCCAAATAGCCTCATTTGCTGTTTAATTTTATAAGAAGGGGCAACTCCTGATCTGAGCTTTAATGCATTGAGGTAGAAAATTTGTAAGATTTTAAGACTGAAAGCAAAATGCTAAATGACAAGAATATTAGAACACAAGAAACAACAGCAGAAGTGGACCATTCGGCCCCTCGAGTCTGCTCTGCTTACTCAAGAAGGTCATGGCTGATCTTCAGCTTCAACTCCATTTTCCTGCTTACTCTACTTGATTACCTGAAACATTAGAAATGTATCTCTCTATGCCTTAAATTTAACAATGATTCATTGACAACCTTCTTAGGAAGAGAATTTCAAAGATTTTGTTTGCTACTGGCGGACAGCGTAAAACCAGATCACAGAATTATTACAGTGCAGGAGGCCATTCAGTTCGTTATGTCTACAACAGCTCTATTATCTCATGCCAATCTCCTGCATTTTCCACATGTCGCTGCACACCATTACAATCCAAATAATCATTCAGTGCCCTCTTGAAGGCCTCAGTTGAACCTGCCTCCTCCACATTTCCAGGCTGTGCATTCCAGACCCTAACAACTTGGTGTGTGAAAAAGATTTTGCAAATCACTTTAAATCTATACCCTCTCATTCTTATTTCTTTTACAAGTAGGAACAGCTTCACACTATTTACTCTGTCCAGCCCACTAATGATTTTGAAAACCTCTATCTAAATCTCTTCTCAGCCTCCTTCCTCCAGGGAGAATAGTCCTAACTGCTTTAATCTCCTCAACTTAAGTTTCTCATTCCTGGAGCCATTCTAGTAAATTGCTTCTACGTGCTGTACAATGGGTTCATGTATTTCCTATAATGTAGCACCCACAACTGGACACAGTACTGCAGCTGAGATCTGACAAGTTTGTTGTACAAGTTCACCATCACTTCCCTACTCTAGTATTCTGTGGTCCGATTAATAAAGCTGAAGCCACTATACTTTATTAACTGCTGTTGGTGCCTTCAATGATCTGTGCACATACCCACCCAGGTTCCTCTGCTGCTTCACTGCCTTTAAAATTGTAACTGTCCATGTTTATATTGTCTTTCAATGTCCTTCTGACCACAGTGCATCACCTCACACTTCTCTGCATTGAACCTCATCTGTCACGTATCTACCCAGTCCACCAACTTGCCAGTGTCCTTTTGATGTTCCACGCTGTCCTCACAGTTTACAATTCTACCAAGTTTAATGTCATCTGCATATTCGATTTTAAAAAAAAAAAGAGTTAGGGTCAAGAGTACTCTATTTCAGTCATGTATTTCATGTTGCCATGGGGAGGACAGCAGAGGAAGCCATTTTTAAGGTCAGATTACAGGCTTCCGTATAAATTCTGAATATCATAGAGCACAGAACTGTTTGGCTTTTGTGAAATACTCGAGCTACATCCTGTACCCATCTAAGGATTGACAGAATACCTACAGTATGGAAAAGGCCATTCAGCCCAGCAGGTCCACACCACCCCTCTGAACAGGAGCATCCCACCCAGACTCATCCCCATACCCTTGCATTTCCCATGTCTAATCCACCTAATCTACACACCCCTGGAAACTATGGGCGATTTAGCACGGTCAATCCGCCTAACCTGAACATCTTTTGGACTATGGGAGGAAACCAGAGCACCTGGTGGAAACTCGTGCAGACACAGGGAGAACATGCAAACTTCACACAGAGGATGGAATTGAACCCAGGGTCCTGGCACTCTGAGGCAGCAGTGCTAGCCACCATGCCACCCTATTCATTTGAATGAGGAGCAAGTGTAGATCATTCAATAAGATTGTGGCCTATCTGATGTTAATCTCAACTCTACATTCCTGCGTATCCTGATAATTTTTCATTCTCTTGATAACCTTGGGTTATTCATCCTGGCATGGCCAGAGGGGAAGCGTCTTCGAGATAGGCTTTACTATTGGATGCGGAGATAAGAAATTCCGAAAACTGAAAAAAGTGCTTGGAGACACTCACTTGTAGTTCCTGCTTGGCAAAGCTGGAAATGGAGACCTCACAGTCTGCTGGGAGCAGCTATGGACTGTTTACTATAAGCAGTATGATTCCATGGAGAGTGTGTAGTGTGGTAAATATAAAAGGGAAATGTACCAGTCAGGTTTAAAGTATAAGTTATCAACAAAAATAAAGCATTGTTTAGTCAATGGTGCTTTTGGTAATTTGTTAGAGTAAAGGTTTTAAATTTTTTTGCCACACCTCTCCTTCAGTTGGTAACTGGAAGGTTAAATCCCTTTTTAAAAATCTCTATGGGGATTGCGACACTAAAGCTGCAGTCCTGTTCAATCAGATATTTCTAAATGGAGGTTTTGTTTTGTGAAAGACCCACCACAGGCTGCAACAGGAACATGACAGGTCCACTCACATCTCAGTTCTTGCACAGGTTTTATCTGGAAAACAGGGAAGTTTATATCATTAACCAGTCCGTGGTTTCTAAATCCTTCATGCTTATGTTTCTGTTTTACCCAAAGGATAATATTTTCATGTTACGAGCAATGCTGACACTTTCCCTCACCTTCACAACCTTCTGTTTCTATTAAACACAATAGTTCGGTTGCAAAAAGAGCTTCATAAAATATCTCCCTTTCTTCCACAAAAGTGTCGAATCTTGCTGGCTTTAGCTCCATGCCTGCTGGTGGTCCCTTGTTTATCATTCAAGTGACTTGACTTCCTGTGTGTGTTTGGAAACTACTCCTCAGTGAGGCCCAGATACCACCTCCCCCCAACTTAATCCCCCCCCCCCCCCCCGCAGCATCCAATGCCATCCATCCCACTGGCACTCACTGGGCGCTGTTTCTGTAACACTGTGTCCTAAATGAGAGTGAGCTGCTGCCCCTTTCTAATTCAGGGGGTAGGAGGTGGATTGGAGCAATCCCATCCACTCTTCTAGCTTGTTGCTTCCCAAACAACCTTGAGACAGATTTAATTCTTAAGACTGTAACTCGACCTTTGTGTAAGTGCAGAATCCTATTGTAGGTCTGTGTGTTTTGTCAGTTATTGAGGCTGCGTGTGTATTCACAGACTGCTTTAAGGGGGTATGTCTGTACATGCAGTTAGTTATTGAGGGTGTGTATATGCACAGACTGCTATTGAAGTTGTGTGTGTGTGATTGTTTGATTGGTCACGTGTACCAAAATGCAGTGAAAAGCTTTGTTTACGAGCAGTACATGCAGAACACAAGCTAAGTATGTACAGATCAAAAAGACTTAGATGCGTACAGGTTACATTGCAGGTTACATTACTTTAGGCTAGAGTCCATTCAACAGTTTGATAACGGCCAGAAAGAAGCTATCCCTGAACCTGTTTGTACATGTGTTCAGGCTTCTGTATCTGTGCCTGATGGAAGAGGTTGTAGGGGGTCATTACCGGGGTGTGATGGGTCTTTGATGATGTTGGCTGCCTTTCAGTGACACCAAGCCATGTAAATAGAGTCCATGGATGGAGGGTTGGCATCCGTCACGGTCTGGGCGGTGCACACAACCCCCTGTAGTTTCTTACGGTCCTGGGCAGAGCAGTTGCCATACTGGGTCGATTATGCACCCGGACAGTATGCTTTCAATGGCACATCTATAGAAGATGGTGAGGGACCTTATGGACATCCCAAATTTCCTGAGCCGCCTGAGGATGAAGAGGCATTGTTGTGCCTTCTTGACTGTCGCATCTACGTGGGAAATCTAGGACAGATTGTTGGTTATCATCACTCCGAGGAAGGTGACGCTCTTCACACTCTTGACCTCAATTCCACTGATGTAGATGGGGGCGTGTTCACCTCCTTTCTTGCTGAAGTTGATGATCAATTGTTTAGTTTCCCAACATTGAGAGACAGATTGTTTTCGTTGCACCACGTCACCAAGCCCTCTATCACCTTTCTGTATTTTGACTTATCGTTGTTAGATATCTGTCCCACTGTGGTGGTGTTATCAGCGAACTTGTAGATGGCGTTCATTCGGAATTTGGCAACACAGTTGTAGGTGTAAAGGGAGTACAGGAGGGGACTGAGGATGCATCCCTGGGAG